CAGGTTGATGAGGTGGACAGTGGCGATGATGATGACATCAACGAAGATGATGTCATTGATGATGCCAATGATGACCAACATGTGACTGTTGAACCTATTCTTACAAAGTACAGCTTGCAGAGACATCATTTCCCATTACACGCGCCAAGAGTCGCACTCCAACTGCCACCAACGTCTCGATAACACCTACAATTGACATACCAACAGACTCAGCACATCAAGGTGAATCGATAGATATATTGTACATCACTTCTGAAGCTATTCTTTAGCAACACATTCAACAACAGCCAGGATACACTCACATTGTGGCATCAACTACGATCGTCGCACTCCACTGATCACCAACATCGTCCAACAAACACCTATGACACATCATCAGACTTGACCTATCAAGAAGAAGCGATACATACTATATTCATTGTCGTTGGAGTAATCCACATCAACTTGTCGAATCTTCATTCAACTACACAGGTAACAACCAATACCAAGGACCGTCGCACCTCTACTTTTAACAATAACTAATACCAATCAAGACTATAGTATAGTAATACTCAACACATCAAGATGAAGCGATCAATATATTATACATCACTGTTGAAGTGATTCATAGGAATTACAGTCGCGGACAGCCACGCAACGGCGACCAATTACAACTCACTAGGATTGTCGCACCCCAACCACGGACCAACAACATCCAACTACTCCTATGATACGCCAACAGACTCGACTCATCAAGATGAAGCGATATAGCACATTCATTCCCGTTCATCGTTATATCAACCTGGATCTTCAACATTAAATTGCCGCCTCATCCTCCACCGATTGCCCGTGCTTCCTAAGATCACAACTCCAGCCAGTGAGTATCTCGATCTAGTGATCTGGAACAAGTGGGAGTACAGGTACCCACCTAGCATGACACATCGGTCCAACAACCGCGACATTATCGGTATTGCAACACACATTTCCTGCTATCAACTGCGATGCTCTCTTCATTCTAAGGACGGGGGAGAAGTGCCAAGACACAACACCGGTGACCATTCAGATTGGCGAGCACATTCACAATGATGACAGTGACAAAGACTCCTTGTTGACGATTTAATGGAGGAACATAACATGTCAGTCTGAAACAATGTACATGTGCTTCAACATAATGAACTATGTGAACGAATATTCAAACATGTCAATATGATCAATCGACATTACAGCCAAATATATATCTTGTACAAACAACTATATATTTATGTTACATAATTCCAACGATGATGACCACTGCTGTGTATTTGATTAATAATGGTTGTATACACACTTGATAATCGGTCGAACATTGGACTACTCGTGGGGGATCGGTGCGCCGTGCGTACTGCTGATGACTAGCGAGGAATTGGCCGTAGCCAAGATCGAGGATGCGCTTGTCAACGACATAGATGGTGGCTTCAGCCTCGCCGTCCAGGTACTGGCCAGCCACGTCGCTCACCCGAAGCGTGAGCACAGCGGTCCGCTCCGAGGCCATCGAAGCTTCAAAAGATGCACTGATGGCCGATGCTTATCAAGCCCGTGATACCTCTAGGCGTGTTTCTGGCATTTAATATGTTAAAATAAGGGTAATCGGATTAGGCAAGCCAACAAGAACAAGCACAACGACAATAATCATTTAATAAATATCTATATATATAACATATAAGCAGACCAGACCCAATGGATGAATATACAAATCATGTTGTGTGGATGACAGTAGTAGACCACCTCGAACACTTGATCGACAAGTTCTCATTGTTGTTGCGTGTTTTCAGCGACTGCACCTCTGTCGTCAGAGACGAATGGATCCGGCGCATTCCTCCGCACACCGAGTACCTCCACACTCAACTTTGAAGCCTCGGTTGGATCATTCCTCCACCTGGAGGCATTGCATACTCTGAATCTCACGGACGGTGGCATCAACAAGGACCTCAGCGCGGGTATGCTGCCCAAGAACATCAAGTCACTCTCAATGTCGTTTGATCCGACCGGTCGCAAGAACTTCAATGTCGAAGAAGGATCTCTTCCAAGCTCATTGACCTCTCTCAAGCTGCTCGACTACAGTGGATGCACCCTCACGACAACAACAATACCATCCTCCGTTGTCAAACTCACACTCACTGCCCTCACGGTGACAGGCTCCGCTGTGCCCAGATCTGTCAAGCGACTGACCTTCTCAAACAGGAACGGCGAGTTTGATCGCAAACTCAATGAACTGCCAGACAAGTTGGAGCATCTCGATCTGCTTTGCCACCAAGACAGCGATGACCTAGCCGCTTTGCCCTCAGGCATCACTATGCTCTCCACCCTGATTCTGCACTATAAACTCTGGATGACCGACCAACTACACAAGGTTGGACAAATTCCGCCCGGTGTCCGGGACCTTCGTCTCTCATTGCACAATGTCCAACGCGACAATGTACCAATACTAGTGGCGCTACCATTGATGCTCACCAGCTTGACTACACTTGGAGAGTTCAGATATGATGGTGGCATGCCAACGAACTTGAAACATCTGACCATCAACAGCCTGTATGACACGGTCGAGATGCCATCGATGCTCCCAACATCAATCACTGAGTTCTACATTGACAAGGAGCTGCAAGAGTCTGATTGGGGCAGCAACAGCCTCCACAACAACTTCCAAACTATGGCAACAACCTCCACAACAACTTCCACAACAGCCTCCACACCATCCACAAGGAGTCCTTTACAAGGGGTGGTGACAAGGTCTCCAATAGGAATCGCATTAATGTTCCATTTTATTGTATATATCCTTACAAAGTATGTTGAGGGAGTGTAGAAGGTGATTGGCTGATTGTCCCTCGCTTGTTGTTGTTGTTGTCGTTGTTGTTGATGTTATACTATAGTAGATGCTCGGGACAATCGCCGATCTGGTCCATAGGTGGGGGAGCTATGACTAGTCTTTTAGAGTGTTATGTGTATGATGTGATGAATCGTTGATCGAACTAATAACCATCTCGCTTCTTGTTTAGATATGACTGTTTTGGCTGTTCACTCTTCACCTTTAGCATCTCCATCTCCAAGCCTATATTCATGAATGCTGATAACATCAGGTTCAGCTCGCGCTGCTGCGCCTCCTTGGCCTCCTTGATCTGCTTGCCAAAGCTATCGAGACGCTCGTCCTTCAACTTGATCGTGTTCTCCAGCTGTAGGATGTGCTCCTCTAACATCTGTAACCTGGTCTCCCTGCTCTCGCCATTCTTGTCCTTCTCGCGCAGGCCCTTGATCATCATCATGGCAGCGGAGGTCCCTCCAGCTTGTCCTTCAACTGGACAGCTTGGCGATTGTCTTCTTTGAAGCGGCGTCCATTGTGGACGTCGAATGCTTGTTGTACAATTCGACGAGTTGTGCGCGCAGATCGTCAACCTGCTTGGCCGAAGCCGCCAGCTCCTTGGTCTTCTCGGACAACGTTGTGTTGGCAGTCTCGACGCTGGTCTTCATCTTCTCCACCTCTTGGTGTTGCTTCTGCGTGTTGTTGTTCATGTCCAATATCTTCTGATTAAGCTCCTGAATGACGATTGACGATTGATGGTGTTGCTGCTGTGTTGGGCTCGAGGCCGACTGCATCAACGCCAGCTGCCTTGTCAGCTCCTCCTTGGCGGCGTTGGCCTCCTCCAGCTGTGTCTCCAGCTCCGGCACCTTGTCGATCGATTCTTTAAATCTCTTGTTCTCTCGCTCCTCAGACAAGACGCTCCTTTGTGGCCGAGTCCATGACCTGGTCCAGGCCGCCAGACGATGGCGACGATGTGGCCTCCAACAACTTTGAATCGCTGTCTTGCTGCAGCTGCTCAATCTTTAAGCGCTGGTTGTCGAGCTGCCCGCTGAGCGAGGTGTGGTCCTGCTCGAGCTGCGACAGGGTGGTATGGAGACGATCGCGGTCCTCCGTGATGGACTTGAGCGACATCTACTGCTGCTTGGTGGTCTCGAGCTGCGTCTTGAACGAGCTGCCCTTGCGCACCTGCTCCACCAGGTCGAGGATCTGGTTGAGATAGTTGTCGTTGTTGTCCTCCATCGTTTTTATCTGGCGCTTGAGATCGGCAATCTCCTCGACCTTGAGCTGATACTTCCTGAGCTTGTCCTCGGTAGCCTCGGCGCTCTGCACCTTCTCGCACAGGATGTCGATCTCGTCCTTCAGGTCCCTGTTCTCGCTGGCCAGCTTGGCACTGTCGTCCATCTTCCTCCTCAGCTCAAACACCTGCTTCTCCTTGTCCTCGATCATCTGCTGCAGTTGTTGATCTCCTCCTTGACGCGGAGGTCGCTAATCGTGTTGAGCGACGACTGCTGCTTCTGGTCGTCCAGGCGCTTCTGCGCAAACTCGAGTGACTGCTGCAGGTTGGAGCACACCTGATCAGTGGAGTGAGACGATCGTAGTTGATGCCAGAATGTGAGTGTATCCTGGCTGTTGTTGAATGTGTTGCTAAAGAATAGCTTCAGAAGTGATGTACAATATATCTATCGATTCACCTTGATGTGCTGAGTCTGTTGGTATGTCAATTGTAGGTGTTATCTCTATATGTTGGTGGCAGTTGGAGTGCGACTCTTGGCGCGTGTAATGGGAAATGATGTCTCTGCAAGCTGTACTTTGTAAGAATAGGTTCAACAGTCACATATTATATATAGATCGATTCCTGTAGATGTACTGAATCTGTTGGTGTATCAAACGTATGTGTTGAACATTGTTGGTGCATCATCGTTGTGTCGAGACGCATTCGAAAGGCATGCATGCATGATGTCAGGTGTGATGTTGTTCAATGACGATGATTGATAACTTGATCGATTCGCGTTGATAAGAGGAGTAACTATATATTATGTTGAGGTGTTGAATGACATTGTCAGGAGTTGATAGATCGACCTTCATCAGTTGTTGTTGTTGTAAATCTGGATGTCATAAAGTGGATGATGTTGATGTATAAGCTTCAATGTTATTGTTTAATCAAATTATCCACTGTCTGTATGTATTTGTACTAATGTTATATGTATCATAGTTGTTAATGACTTGTCTATTGAGTCATTGTCAAAGTGATTCAAACAACTGTGAAATTTTCATTAAAATTAATTATTGTTTATTAATATTTATTTGTTTTTCCAATATGTTGTTTAGACAAGTGTAAAGAATGATATAATATGTTAAATGATTATGGTAGGTATATCTGATAGCAGTATTGTTAGAGGGATATTTGTATCTATTAGTTTTAACTGTTTGAAAAAAGTATATGTGTTCGAACTTCCATCCCATACAAACTTTCTCTTGAAGAAAAATAACTTTATAAAATTGAAAATATTATTTTTAAATATTAGATTTGATCTTTAGACTATTCTATTCAATATGATAGCCCTTATTGGATATTTGTTAATGGACTCGCATCAAACTTTTTAGTCTATATACAGTATATTTCATAAGTTATGGACACCCCCTGATCGAACTGATAGATAAACTATATCTCTTCAAAATTAAGGTTTATATTTACGATTTATTGTCTCTAAAAAAAAAAGTAATAGATCAACAAAATAATATTTAATTATTAATTGTTGGCTGTATTTATTTATAAATAAATAATAATTGTATTGAAAATAA